CCATCAGGGCATTTGCAATTTGTGCTCGAGGACTCCTTTGGATTAAGTGACTTTTAGAATTAAGGCTCTGTTTCACCGTTACGACTCCAAAAACCCAAAATACATTTTTCCGCTAAAACCTAATTCGCAAGTGGTATTCGGTGTCCTGATCACTGATGTGGCATTCGTTTTTGTCTCTGGCGCCATCTGGCGCCAATAGGCGGCATCACTTTTCCCAGCGAAATTGATAAAAACTCAAGTGGTAGTATTGTTTGATATCTTGATCACAAATGTGGCATTGTAGCTCCCTTGCCGCCACACTCAGCCTTGGCAGAGCGCAGCTGATCAGTGTGCATTACATATGTGACCCCTGACGCCAAGGCTGAATATCAGATTCCTAAGATTTGCCATATTTGATATTCCTATGCCACAGATTTATAGTATGCTAGTTCATACAGCTTTTACTGAAAAAGGTGATGGCGCCGAGTGGGCGTCGATGGGTGCCAAATGGCGCTGTCGCACCTCTATAATTCAAGTTTCAGCCAATTTTTCTTGATTTTTCGGAGTCGTCATAGTGAAATAGGGCTAAATTACCAACGAACGGGCAACTGATGCATTCAAGATCGTCCTGTTCAGAGAATCGTCAGCTATTCACATTATAACCCATCTTCTCGAGGAACATGCCCAGATTGCTGTTTATGATCCAAAGGTTGTGCTCTTTTTAACTACCTACCTTTTTATTTTTCCTGATTTTCTCAGCAAATCCTCCGAGGAAAGGATGGCATTTACTCGTTTACAACTCGTTTCTTCACTTATTGTGTTATTTAAAGGTCGCCGAAACTCAGATGAGATGGGAGTTGGAACAGCGATCACCTGCTGACCTAGGTAAGGTCGGCTGAAGAGCTGTATATGCTCGGAAATTTTAGCGCATGTTTTAAAATTGCTTTTCAGTCACAAAATTGGTAACCGTTCATGACAATCCCTATTCGGCCGCCGATGATGCCCATGCTATAGTCATTTTGACTGAATGGGATGAGTTCAAGGTGAGGCTCAATTGAATCGTAGGGTGAATGGCGGTTCTTGACTTAACCCCACTCTTGGATCAAAAGTACTGCTACCCAGTGGTCTCCAACTACGGTTGATATCGCCGCCGTCAGTCGCGACGATTTCAGGGGAACTGGAATGAGCCCACTCATGGCGTTTTTACTAATGGTTTTTTTACTTACTAATGGTTTTTCTACTTCCTCAGTCAATCAAGAATCACCAGTCAATCACTCTTGGTAGATAGGCAGCCGGAGGTGGGCTCATTCACCCCTCCTGATACCACACCCTCTGACTGGGGCTATATCACCTGTTCCCATTAGTGCAGAAAGCCAGTTGCATCCTCATTCAATGTGATCAACCTTTTCAATGGAGCATTTTGCAGACCCTGGACTACGAGCGAATCTACAAGACGATGAAACACCCGGCGTCGATCTTCGACGGTCGCCTGATTCTCGACCAACGCCAATTGCGCGAGTACGGTTTCCGAACGTTTGCCATCGGTTCGGCTCCCGATCAAGCGTACAACCTCTTTGGCGTACCGCTTGACTAGAAAAATATTGGAAATGCTGCCAATCAGCTGATTTCATATCGGTTGCCCACTTAGACATCTCACGAGGAACAATTGCCTTTTCCTGAGAATGTGACTATCAATGCTTTCACGTCATTAACGTTCAGTTCTTAGGGTCATAATTCTGTCGAATCACCGAGATCCAACTTATGTCACTTATCTTTCTAAAGAAAAGCTTTTCACTATCTTTGTATGAAGTAAGGCCGCCTCCACACTGCAAAGCTGTCCATCAGCGCAATCAAAGGAAAAATGAATGCTGATCAGGTGCATGCGAAGTAGAATTTTGGTTCAGACTCGATGTGCTGATGGGGCAGTCTGCAGTGAGAAAGCGGTCTCATCCACATTCCTTTATTTATAATATCCTGCACAACATAATAAAGTTATCTAATATGACGTGTTGCACATTTGTTATTTGGGAATTTTCGTCGGCTTTTGTTCTTTTCTGATTAGCTTAGCATGTTTTGGAAGCAATTCAAAAACATGCTCAATGCCTAAAGGCAGTTGACACGACAAATCCCCAAGACTTGTAGGACTAGTGCGTCTAGCAGGACTGAATTCAGCGCTCCTGAGCAGGTGCTGCATGGAGCCTCCAAAGGAGGTACCCTTACAGCGCCCTATCAAGCGGCAACATAGCGACCCGAACGCCCACTGCGCGGCCGCGGTGCTGCAAGGATATATGAGCACATACAGTGTAGTTCGCTGCGGACGGTTGGGCGTGTCAGGCGGGATGAGTTTGGCGCGGTGCCAAACCCGTTCTCCACCAGTTGTTAAAGCGAGCAAGTGATATGACTGTATCATATCGTTCGTATTACTCGTTTTCTACCACTTTTTGTCGCATGCGCGTTTCAACAAGAAGGCAGAGAACGGCTTTGATGGCGTGACCAAGACACACAATCGTTGTGATGATCACAGCGGGGGGGGTCGTATTTGACCGCGAGGGAGGGGGGTCGTATTTGGTCTGAGAAAATTTTTTTGATAGTTGATTTCTCTTGTTTCACGGACGCTATAAAGGGGGAGGGGTCGTATTTGGTCGTTGTTGGGAGAGGGACTGCCAAAGATCTATACAACTACTATTTCCGATAGTTGAAAATGATAGTTGAATCCTGACGACCTCCCCTCCCCCCCCCCCCGCTCGACAGCAAAATTTCGGGAAAACCAGAAATTTCGAGAAAATGTCTTCGGTAGCATGGAGAGGGGAGGGGTCGTCTTTAAAGATGAAATTAGGGGATCGTATTTTCCAGGAAATGATCACAACGCGATGGCGTTCCGTGGGCGTGACACACTCATACTGCCTGACACGCCCAACCGTCTGCAGTGAATGAGAGAATACATGCGGTCGTACCTACCGTTATATGCTCGATGCCAACGAGGGTTTCGTCCGAAATCGCTTTTGCAAACATGTTGAGCTTGAGAGCTTCTTCGCAAGTTTTCAACCGCTTCACTTCGCTTTCACTATTTCCTGCTGTTTAGCTCCCCTGCCACTATTTCAGACAGAGTGCTAAATTATCGTGCCTAAATTATTGCGACTAATTTAAACTTAACACTCCAGGGAGAATCGCCTCCGGCTGCCTTTCTCTGATAATAGCGATCGGACTGTAGTTACGGATTAGTAGTCCTGCTGTAAGCTGCTCCGTCCTGCAAGATTACACAGAGTTGTTCTACTCGTCGGACACAGAGAGGGTATGAGTATGTGTCAGTCCGTGCATTCGTGTGCAATTGAGTGCCGATGTGTGCAAGTATGTGAGTGAGTGTATTGGTATGTGTGAGCGCATGCGGGTATGTGCCAAGGAATGCAAATGTGTGCTAGTGTGTGCGAATTCGTTGTGCTTTTATTGCTCCAACTAGCACAAACGATTATGTCCATACTTATGATAGAAGATACTTATGGTTAAATTATTCCAGAACTATAGCTAGTCATAAGTTCCGAAGCTTATTCTACAAAATTACTTTCATGCCTTTTTTATTTTCAAGTGTTGTACGTTATTAACGGTGGAAGATGAGAAGAAACGACGGTAAGCTGGAGGATGCACAAGACGGCGGCCGTTTCCGTTCTCTGGTATGAAATTAGCAGTTCCGCAAAAGTCTTTCAGGGGAGGGGGACCAAGTCTTGGGTTTTTGCGTTCGCCGTTCCATTTCATTCCCTTTTTTACCAAGTCACTTACCGAACACTTTCATTTTTTAAACTACCAACGAGTGGCAAGGGCAGGGCTTGTCGTTTAATGCACAGACCCCAATTTCCAGTATGCCAAAGGAGAACGATGACTGCATATCTGAAATCTAGATCTTTTATTCTGCCACTGCATGGTACCTACAGCAATCGTTGGCGAAGCCTGACACTGTCCAGGCCAATTATGAACGAGGTAAGCATCCACTTAGGCAGCGTTCATATTTCGCGACCACCCCAGTCACTAGCGACGATCGCCGTTGTTGTCGCGAAGTATTAAAGGCACGGTCCGCAATCAGGCACAGAAGCTGAATGGCATCGGTAGGGTAGGCCACGAGGAACAACCTTGTACCGGTTTCACGGCAAAAAAAAATTGCAAGGGAGAGGCGCTATAGCGTAATATGGTTCAGTGACGCCTCCTTTTTTCCAGTGACTCCGCCTCCAGACTCCGCCTTCAAGGCCCGCCTTTCAGTGAAAACTGCAGGACGAAAAAGCATGAAAATCGTCACTTGTACGGTCGTAGAGTCTTATCGAGGAATCAGCTGTGCGGTCGAATGAAGCTAATCGGGCACGTACAAACTGGGATCGGAATGGGGTTCTATCTAGGGCAGTTGGCATGTTTTTTCTGCTTTTTTTTCTTCACTATCGAGTTACTCAGAACCTTGTCTTCTATATTGAGCCCCTAATGTACTATCTAGTGATAGCGAATGATGGCAGGCTTTGCTTTTAACGCTGCCTTAGGAAAAGAGCCAGTCACCTTCACCTTTAATGCATGTTCTAGGCAATTTCGTACCTTCACTAATTTGTATAGCGTCGTTGAACATCCCGTACGGAATCGTGATTGGTCACAGGGAGGGGTGTCGTATTTGCCTTCGAGAAAATTGTTTCCTGTTGCTGACTTTTCTCGATTATTGCCAGTTTGTGTTTACTATTGTTCCCCCACCCCCTTAGTTGGTGGAGAGGCAGAGCTACTGTGCTGCTACTATTTCTGATAGTGATTTTGGTAGCGAATTGGCGCCGACCTCCTTGCCCCGCCCAGCAGAAATTTTTTGCAGGGAAAAACTAGAAAAAATTTTGGAAAAGTGATGGGTTGAGAAAACCTATGAAAATGGTACGCAGGATGGGAAAAGGGGTAGTACTAGAGCAGGAAGTTAAGAGTGGGGACAACGCCATTTCACAAATTACGATACTGTTACATATACAGGGGGGGCCATAAAAAAAAGACTTTTTTCTTCCTCGACTTTCGAGGCGCTATAACTACACTTTATTAAATTCTTATCGGACACTTCTACCACCATATTAAAGAGCATATTAAATACTATCATGATACTCCGCCACAGCCTTCTGGAGTTCAGAGCGCCATCGAGAGATTCTGCCACGCGACCGTCAGTGGGTGCGTGAGTTCAGCGAGATCGTTGATTTCTCCGCCACTGTAGACCACCCTATTTAACTCCGCCCGAGCCAAGTAATTGATGGGGTTTAGTTCAGGTTACCTGCTTAGATATTCCACCTTCCTCAGGTACTCAGCCCCTTCCTTTCCAAGTAGGCGAGAGTTTCTCCAACGCCCTTCGATTCCACGTGGTGGCACCCAATACTGTAGCAGTACAAAGTTTCCAGGAAGGTAGGGTTCGCAGACATGGTGGGGACGGATACTTCTTCTTCAGGTTTGCTCGATTTATTACCGCTTGGCAGCCCGCGTCACTTTAGCTCGGGGGGCCCACGTTAAGAAAATGTCGGTCTCTCCCATCCCAGGTACGTCCGGTCCCCACCATCAACTGGCGCCTTGGCGACTGAGGTGAAGATGATGTCCTGGACCGTAGCGACGTTGGCGGAGCTGCTTGATGTTAGGGGTCTTCCAGATCGATAGT